ACTGTATCAGCACAAGGACAACTAAATGTGCAAGAGCCTTTTGCACTAATGATCTAAAAAAAACACAAAGTTCAGACCAGCCCCACTTCTCGTCTTCTCCTCTTGTTATAAATGCAGTGATAGGTTGGTTTTTATCCAAATGTAATCACCTCTACTGATGAAAGAGCTTATGCACATATGCTGAGGCTCTCGCTGGGGTTCTCTGCTGATGACGCAACCCGCCATGCCCGGGCCCGTCAGTCCCACGCATGATGAGACAGATTCCCTTCTCCACGGAGGCACATTAACCATCAGCGCACGTATGAGCAGTCCATTTTTATTTTTTAAAGCGCGCCCTATCCCTGCTTTGCTCTCAACAGGATATGAAAGATGAGGAGATGGCAGACAGAGAGGGACCAAAACCCAAAGCAGACACAATAGGAGCGATGGCTATCGGCGCAGCGGGGACCCGTGAGCCTTTGGTAATGAATGACGTACCAGGAAACTTGTTTAGCTGCACTCATGTCCAAATCATTATTGCAGACACCGAGCGAGGAAGAAGCAGAGAACGATGACAACACACATTATCAGTGAGCAAAAGGAAGCTGCTCTAGTTTCCATTACAACACCTCTTACTAGTACAAGTCAGGGGGTGATTTCCGTTGTGATGGGGGGTGTGTGCCTCCTCTCACTTCTCAAAGTCCTATTTCTGGCCCCCAGTATTTTCCTTTCTTAAATCCCTGCCAGAATCCAGACCAGAGAAAGGAGTTGGTACAAATGTTGACACACTCGTGTGAGCCAGCTTTGATATTTACCATGATCTCAAAGCAACAAGTTGAACCAGCAGCTGTGAGTCCTTTGACTTTTTTTGTTGCACGTTTCGCCTGTCAGGCGACACACATGCTTCTTCTGTACCCTCTGGTGGTGGTGGTGGTGTCTGGAGCCTGACACAAAGCCTGCGGGTCTCACTCAGGGTGGAAATAAAACACTGCCAAATCCTCACACATTTATGGTGTAAGAAAACATGTCATCTACATTTACAGACAATATCTAAACTGATGAGCATCCAAACATCGATATGCAGTAAGGACACTGCTCTTTTTAGGAAATTACGACACAACATGTTTTACAATAAAGTATCAGATCTTCATCAACTAGAATTAACACCTCATGGTTGTACGCTTCTGCCAAGTAGCAGTTTACATCCATGTAGGGAAGACGTTAAGGGAATTTAATAAAATATATTTTTTGAAAAATGGAAGTTATCACTATACAGACATATATGATTAAAGTGGATCATTTCCAGGGTAAAACAAACCGTCTTCACTTACAGCACAGACGGCTTCGTCAAGAAGAACATCACCAGTTTAACCCTATTCAGGACTTTCATGGTGCCGTACGTAGAAGGTCTTTCTGGGTCCATTGGACCCCAAGAAAGAATATGTGCAAAATATTTGTTGGTGTTCATTATAGACGTTTATACTATGTTATATACATTTTCTGATAAGTTGACGTATTTTTGGTTCCCAGTGCATGACAAATGTCCCTCTTTTTATATCTTAAAAAAAAAAAACCTTCAAAAATAAAAAAAAACAATTCCTGTCACCTAAACCAAATGGCCCGGGGTCCACAAGACCCCAAAAGTCCTGAATAGGGTTAATGTCTGAGCAAAATGTGGTCACAACCTCTCCCTCTGTTCTGTCTGTTTTTGCAGCGAGGTGAACCAAGAATAAATGTGGTCTTAAGAGGTATCAGTAATTAATCTGGGGCTGCAACTAACACTTATTTTTACTGTTGATTAATCCATTGATCATTTTCTTTACTGGTTGTTTAGACTTTAAAATGTCAGAAAATTGTGAAAAATGTTGATGGGTGTTTCCTTAAAGCCTGAGATGACGCCCTTAAATGCTTTGTTTTGTCCACAACCCAAAGATATTCAATTTACTGTCACAGAGGAGGAAAGAAATTAGAAACCCATGAAATTTAAGAAGCTGAACTACAGAATTTATACGAAGAAAAATAGATGGAAATAGTGTAAAAGTTGAAAACTAATTGATTCCTGTCATTCCAGTCTGTAAATAATAACACATGTTTCAAACGTTTTTGTCGGATTTAGCAGAAAGGAACAATAACCAAAAAAAGCACCAGAAGGTAATGATTAAGAGCTTCATTGCATCTCACAGTTTGTAATATGACGTCTAAATTATGTCAAAGCAGAAAACATCTAATCAATTCCAAGTCAATCCACTGCAGAAATCAAATCATCTCTAAAAGTCGGGACTAATCGTACACATTTTTATTATGTTATCCTTAAAGTTTCAACACTTTCCTAAACAGTCAATAACCTGAAACGCTTCTGTGGAATTTACAAATGCACTGAAAATAAAAGAAAACACTCATCTCCTGTTTGCAAAGCACCAGCAGCTCTGACATCCACGGTAAAGAGTGACTCTAAGAACCAGAGTCATTACTCACTTAAGTCAAACAGGCCTTTGTTGGTGCGCCAAACTGATCCACTGAAGAAAGCAACTCCAGGAGAAATCAAAACTATTCGGACTTAACAAGAGTTATTAGTGATTTGGGGGCTTTTAGAGATCATTTCAATGTCATCAGTAAATTAAAAACAACATTTCAACGTCCAACATCCGATCACGACCAAACTGGAAGAACAAAGCTTAAAGATTTAATGTCAGCTGTGGAATGATTTGATTTTTCTCAATTACAGATACAGTTAATGACAAAATGAATGATGAACAGCTATTTGAAAATATCTGGATTTATTTTTCTGTTGTGCAGTTTCAAACCAATTAGGAGTATTAAGATATTTGAAATAAAAAAACAAGGATGCCTCAAGTATAAACATTTCTTTCATCAAATATTTTCTACTGACATGGAAAACATAAACTCCAATAAAGTTTTAAAAGAGAAAAATACGTGTTGCTCTGAGTTATTATAGTCTATCACAACACTGACAGTGATGTAATTGTGGATCTTAAATACGTTTTGTAATAAATCTTGTGTGCTGCTTGTGTAGTAAAGTCCAGTGAAACACTGAAAAAAGCTGTCGTCACATTTGCTTTGCATGTTCTCTTTCCAAACCCCAAATTTCTTGACTTGTAATAAATCATACAGCAAGTATAAGCTGACATGTGTTCAGACTCTGACATATTACTGTAGAAAAAATCTGAAACTTACACTTCTTTAAGAATCAGGCTTTTTTGATTTTTGTGCAGAATCAACTGGTGTAAGTCTGTCTTTTAACTTTTAACTTTTGATGGTGTAAATCTTTAAAAAACTGCAAATATGTATGTGCATGCAGACAAAAGTAAATGTCTAAATAAGGAATGGGAAACAGCTGCAGGATTGATTTCAGTGTATTAATTTGAGACATTAGTGTGACAGTGGAGCTGATGTGTGTTTCCTATGATACAATGTCCGACACACATGGTTCTGAGGAAGCCTTAACTGTTGCTTTGACCTTCTTGTGGGATTTGTTGAAATAAACACATAACACTGCCAGTCTTATCCTTGAACTAAATTTGAAGATTATACTATCCTGTCAGTATGATGGTTCTACAAGCACCCAGCCACAGCGCCATGTTCTACAGATGCTGCTCAGTCAGCTGTTTGACTCTCACTTGGGTGCATCTTTTTAGTCTGAAGACTTGAGGAGACCTCCGATCCTCCACATGCGGATGGAAAACAAGGGAAACTCATCTGACAAAAGAAAGGCGCGTTGTTCCAAGTGACTCAAGAAGGCCATCTGCTCCGATCCCACCTCCAGCCTGCACGATACCTTTGATTTCTGTAGGAGCGCCTCCAGGATCGAGAACAGGTGGCACGAGTTCTGATACTGGTCCACGGGAAACTTGTTGAGCCCTGAGCCATCCTGAGCCTGCAAAGCGACATCAGACGTTTAACTGACACTCAAACTGCTCTCTATGTGGGTAAGAGTTAGCTTGGACACACTCTTGCCAATCGATCCAATGTGGGTAGGCAATCTGATGATCTGAATTTGGCACATGAGCTGCTTTTCAGAGGAATCCTGCAGATCGCATCATTGAAGGCGCTTTATCGAAGTATTTCATTTTCAGTTACTGCTAACCAGTTAGCCTTCAGCCTTCAGTCTGTCAGATCTGGCATTTCCCTCCAAGCAGGCTGGACAGGTCTCTTAAGCGAGTCTCTCATCAAGCAGACAGTCTCTGACTCCACTGTGTCGGACTGCTGACAGTCGTCCTTGTTCTGCTCTGGAGATCCGCTGTGAGCCAAACAGAACCTGCAGCAGGTGGAGAAGTGGTTCTTGCACAGCAATCTCAGGCAGCAGAACAGAACAAGGACCCCATCAAGTCTGATGAGATCCTCAACTGCCTTCACCAACTGCAGTCCAAGATGGAGAAGCAGGAGTTAAATCAAGAGAACGACACACTCACTGGACACACAATGAGTATTGTAAACAGAAGGAAGCATGATGGATGAACAGCTGCAAGTAGCAACATTTGAATGAAGCATGAGCAGTGGAGATGTGAGTTACTACTTTCAGTTAGAACTTTCATAATAAAATCAAAGTGGAAAAAAAGGATGAGGAGATTTGTGAGCTGAGCCTTTAGCCTTGCATCAGCTTTGTATTCGTGCCACCATATGCACAACTAATTCAAGTTAAAGTTCATCTAAATCTGCAGGATGAATGAGAATCATATACAGTCGATAATCCGACACTAAAAACCTTCTTTTATGTCGGATAGCAAAGCTGTCGGATTGTCAAGACGGAGGTCGACATACAAGGAGGGCTTGATGCTGGAAGGCTCATTTGTTGTTAATGTTTATTGTTCATAGTTGTTAGAATAACCAGTAGGGCTGGTCCGAATAGCACTTTCTGGTCTCTGGATATTCAGGCCCAATTAATGATGATCATCAGACTACTCTGTGCGGTCGGGGGGACACTTCCACCCCGGGGGAGCGCTCCAACAGGGTGGAGGTGGCCGGAACGCACAGGCAACACTTGGCTGATGATGCTAGTTTAGTTAGCGGTCACACTTCTGGTGACCAATGGTTTCCAACCAATGGTGGCGGCAGCAGCACTCCCCCGCCGCCGCCACCATCCGGGTTTACTTCCGTAAACACTGAGCATGCTCGCTGTGTGTGACGTCATCGTGTCCTCTTTTGCGCATGCGGGACATTTTTGGATGTTCACACAGCAGATCACATTGTTAAAGGACGGGTTATCGAGTCACGGCTGTCCATCTTTAGTCTGTCCCAACAGATCGTATTTCTATCATACATGCACATAATAATACCTTTATAGACACAGATATGGTCTTTTAGCCAGATTTTCCACCCATATAATCAAATTTGCAAATATTTACATAAAAACATACTGCTGCTGCTAAAACTTTTGGTTTTTACTACTTTTTTTTCTTCTTTTCTTTAAAGAAGTTTATTACTTTTGATCCAACAAACAGCGGCGGTAATGCAATCCAAAGGACAGATGGTGCTGAGAAAAGGTTGAATCATTCCTCAAATAATCCAGCACTGGAACACTCCTTCTGAGATGATGAACTGATAGGTGACACTGCAACAAATACTTACTGCTCAAGCCATTTAACAACAGACAACAGCACTAAAATATGATGTGTAATTGTTTTCAGAGCACGCACCGGGCATAGCCGAAGAAATACATGCACAGAAGGCTACAAAACAAACGTTAATTATTCAAATCAAGAGCAGCTACTGCATTTCTTCCTGGCTATGTCACAGTGTGCCTTTGCAAATGTGTGTGTCTGAACTTTTGCATGTGAAAGTTTGTGTGTGTGTGTGTGTGTGTGTGTGTGTGTGTGTGTGTGTGGGTGATGTCACGAAGAAAAACAACCGCCAGATGGCTGTCAGGTATTCCTTTGGGCTACAACCTTCAGAGAGCTGACAGAACGTGACAACAACACCCCCTTAACCCCTTACAAACGCACACACAGACGCACACATGCCCCGCTCAGACCCCATCAGGATCGGGTCACTTGGCACTTTGCTCAGCAGCCAGAACGTCGTTTTTCTTCATATCTCACTTTTTTTTCGGTTGTGCCTCCTTCAAAACTCCCATTTCTCCAGCAACACAAATACATCATACGAGACAGAACTCTGCCGCTGACACAACGACGATTCAGGAGCAATCAATAACATTTTACTGTTTCTTCACACACAATCAGCTGTGTCTGTTACTGCATGTGTGTGTGTGTGTGTTTTTATTACTGAAATTTCAAGAGTCAAAATGGCTGAGATGCTCCAATCTTTCATGTTCGTGCTTTAAGAACTTAGTTTGGCTTCTCTAAAAGTCGAATTTATAGCACAGAGGAGCTCCGAATGCTGAAGAATCTTCATGTGTGGAGCTGGGATTACTGCACATTTGTTGGGCAGGTTAACAATGGGTCACCGCTGAGCACTTAAGTGCACATTCAGGTAGTGGGTAAGTGTGTCCTGAAATATGGCAACACACAGTGCACTTAAACCACATGGGAGGTACGCTTCTCCTGCGAGTGCACTGAAACAGGAATCAGACGGTATCACAGCGGTGCTTCAGGAGCAAGAAGCTGGTTTTCTGACAGGATGAATGAAGTATGTTGGATTCAGTGTGAATATTATTACTGATATTAGTTTGAGATTATCTGAACACTCAGTTGCCTCCGTAGGCATCAATAATCTGGCTGAACACTGAAAGAATCAAGTATATTATAGCCCAGATGTTGATGAGATTATTTGCATCATCTGTCAGTGTCGGGCCCATCAGATGAGCTGCTAGGCAGGTGTCATGCAAATGTTTTACATGGTGACATCAAAAAAAAAAACTGAAGACAAATCTAGACTTCTAACAATTCAGGTAGGGTTTTCTGTGGAAGAGAATAATCCCCTTTGGTATGGACTTCCTGTTTTGTAAGTTTGCAGACTCTTTAAACAAACTTTGGGCTCTTTGACTGTCTAAGCTCTGAACCCTGCCAGCAGGTATGAAAGGCTTGAAGTATTTGCAAGATCTCGCAAATTTACCAGAATAAGAAACTGTAAAAACTGACAGAACTGCCAGATTTTACACTTCACATGTAGCATCATGCATGTTGTACAGGTTAACTCCAGATTTTTTTGGTTTTTGTTTTAGCCATGGCTGTCCTGTTTCCATAGGGGGGCAGGACTTTATACTGCAGTGAACAATGAGCCCACACTGAGTTGAAATGTAACAGGAGAGGAAAAGACCCAGAAACTGCTTGTGGTTCTGAGGATTAAATATCATATCCTTTCACTAATATTATTCATGACATAAACACAGCTATGCAGCTGATTTGATGTATTTGCTTACTATGTGGAAATAATAATAAAAACAACTAATAAGCTCGACCAAGTCTTTCATCTGCGTTTGCAAGAGTCAAGAGATTTTCTCATTAAATAAATGTGAGCTCAGATAAACTCCTCTTGGGCAAGTGGTCTGACTGGGCAGTGGAAGAACCTCACAACAGTAGAAACATCTTGCAAATATAACAACAAGGGTACTGGGATGGAAGCATTGTTCGCCACACTGCAGGAGGTTTTTGTTGATGCATAATGCTTTTGGTAATGCAAAACAGCAACATCCATGATCATTAACAAACATCCATCTATTATCTGATGCTTATCAAGATCTGGGTCACAGGGTCACTCGTTGCACAGACCTCCCTCTCCCATCCTTGTCTTATAGGGGTAAAAGTTGAGAAACATAAGGCTTGAAGTCTTCTTCAGGTTGGACAAACCAATCACGTAGGACGTGTCATAGACAGCTGACCGAACAGCTTCAACTGTCTTCTTTCAATTTGGTGGAGCAGTGGTTCAACTCTGAGCTTTTCCCGAATGACTGAGCTTCTCAGTCTATCTCTGAGGCTGAGCCCAGAGACCCGTCAGAAGAAACTGATGTCCTCCGCTTGTTATAATCTCATTCTTGTTGAGGGTAGAAATGTAGATTGATGGGTAAATCAACAGTTTCTTCTTTTGGCACCACAACAGACCAGCACAGCATCTGCATCACTGCAAACATCGCACCAATTCATCTGTCAATCTCTCTCGTGAACAATATTTTAAAATTGACAACAGATTCATCACCATTCAAATGTATGTAACAAGCAACAAAGTGCACACATGTAGACCTTAAATAGAGCCTGATAGTCTC